CCCGGGAGCGCGCCCGGGCGCACCCTTTTGTCGAGAAAATCGCCTAAAACTGTATTGCTGGTCCAAAGAAACACACTCAGACAAATATGTTTTCAGATGCTGCGCAAGCACGGCTCTCCAGCTACTTCCCTGCAAATTCCTATGAGCGCATTGCATAATTCACTAAGCAGATTTTCAGAAAAACGGGAATGTTCTCTGTCTCTTTAATTACAGGGGAAATCCCCCTTTGCAGAGGTTACGCTATCACTTTCTCCGTGGTGGTGATCCATTAATCTTCCCAAATCCAAGGTAAGATTATAGGTGCAATTTTATGTCTTTTTAATTATCAGTAGGGAGTTCTTGCAAAAATTGAGAAAACCCACGGAGAGCAGAGGGCTTCCGAGGGCTCCCGAGTGATTTTGGCAGGGCATCAGTTTCTCTGTATTTATATAAACCATTTCAACTCTTAAACATTCCCAGCTTGCACCGCAGGCAAAAACGACGATAACAAAAGCGGCTCATGACAGAGCTGAATAGCTGGATTTCCAGTTCTTTCTCGTATTATGCAACCGGGTCATCTCAAGCCAGTGGAGAAGGAAGTACAGCTGAGATGGAAGCACATTAATATTGATAACGCTTCTTTGGAAATGGGGATAAGAGGTTCTACCCCTAGATAACCACAAAGGGATGGAGCGGGGAGCTGACCTGAAGGGACTTGTCTGCATTTCACGTGACCTGTTGTTTCAGCAGGACAAACGTAACCAGTGCCAGGCATTTGCAGAGGGAACTGAAAACCTCCGTGCCTAGGGTGGAAGATGAGCATCCTGTGCATTCACATTCAGGCTCTCCATCATTTTGACCTTTTCTTTTCTGCCTGCCCTCCTTTGCACCACACATTTGTTTTTTTAATAACCTTGTTTCTTTATTGCAAAAAAATGGCCGTACTGCTGAATTTCTATTTCTGTGTAAGGTAAAACACAACAGGCACAGCCTGTTGTTCCCGTATTTCCCAAAGACATCACTTTGCCAGCAGGAATTTGGGGGCGGGACCACAGCTCTTTTTGTTTAGTGTTCAGATTTAAATACGGAGCTATGAGTCTCTGTTGTGCAGCCTGATGATTAGGGGCAGGATTCGTAGATGCCCATCATTCCATAGGCTGTCATTTCAGAATGGTTGAATGCGAGATTTTCATGGAGCGGGGCTAAAACTGTCCCTTTCTCTTAAGAGCTTTTGAAAAGACTTAATATTTTGTGACAAAAAAAAAAAAAAAAAAAAAAAAAAAAACCACCAGTTGGGATTGAAAACCTGCTCATTGTTGTTAAGAAAATATGCTGCAGTTGAGGGATAAATGCTTGAGCAGAAACTGCTCTTCAAAGAGAGGAACAGAGCGCTCTGCTCTGCAAAAGAGGGAGCGTCCTGCCCAGAGACCCTGCCACTCCTCCCCATCCCATCCTGGGTCTCTCCACACACTCTCACAGCCGCTTCCCATGAACCAGCATCACCTCCAAATGTATCCCGATGCCAAGAGCAGCCCTTTGGAGCCTGACGAGAATGGAGCCACGCTGCGCCTTCAAATGAAAACCAGAAAAAGTTGTCTCTGCCATGTACATTTTGGATTGAACATGAACACTTGCACTCCTACACGGGTTTCTAAAACACAGGCGTTTGTGGTGCTGTTAATTCTGCCAAGATGGCCCTGCAGCTATGGCCAACTCTGGTTTGGGATTCCTGAAGGGAAGCAGTGTGTTTCTTTTACATATCCAAGTCCCAGGCTCATTTCATGGTGAAGACCATGTTTAGCTGCTAGAAAACAAGGAGGAAACATGTCCAGATCAATTCATTGATTAACCTTCAAGCTGAAGACAGCAGAATGCTCTTCCTGGAGAGAGGAAGGAGAAAGGTTCCTTTAATAATCACACAGTGTTAATAAAGTGCTCTGCACATGCTAAGGCTCACTCCGATGCACTGAAGAAACAGTCTAGCTGATTTAAACAACTTCATCTTCCCTTCCTTGAAGGAGCTTTCATCCCGATTTTTTTCAAAAAGGATGTCAAATTTGAGATGCTGAGCACCATGACATATTGGAGAATTTCAAAATGTTTGTCTACAGAGACAAATGTTTTTCTGTCCACCAAGGAATGAACATCCAATTGTGATTCCTTCTCATTTCAGCACCAATATTTCTGTAGTCCAGCATTTTTGCCTACTGTTTTTTGAGCCAAAAGACTTTTAGGTGCTTTAACTATTAAAGCAACATGAAGTGTTTCAGGAGACTGAGGACTTGTTGGTATTTTATGTGGATGGGACACATTTTTCAATGCCAAATTATCAGAGTGGGGGCATTCTCCACAATTATATAAAGGTTCCCACAGTCCACAAATGGTACTAGAAGACTAAGAAGCAAAAAAGCCTTACTGTGCTGCTACAGCAAAGTAAGACACAGAGCTTAAGAGGTGGGGAAGCCACCATTTTACAAACTTGAAAGGAAGAAAGAACCTGCTTCTACCGGTTTGCTTGACT